ACAAGTATTATCACATGTGATAAGGGTGTTGCTGATATGATACTACAATCTATCAAGACCATCACATGTAATACTAAATCATAGACGCATACAACCTTTGGCGTGGCCTAAGTCGTAGAACACGTCGTCCGCACATCACAGGGTCTCCTCACACGTATTATCACATGTGATAAGGGTGTTGTTGATATGATACTACAGTCTATCAAGACCATCACATGTAATGCTAAATCATAGACGCATACAACCTTTGGCGCGACCTAAGTCGTAGAACACGTCGTCCGCACATCATAGGGTCTCCTCACACATATTATCACATGTGACAAGGGTGTTGTTGATATGATATTACAATCTATCAAGACCATCACATGTAATGCTAAATCATAGACGCATACAACCTTTGGTGCGGCCTAAGTCGTAGAACACGTCATCCGCACATCACAGGGTCTCCTCACACATATTATCACATGTGATAAGGGTGTTGTTGATATGATATTACAATCTATCAAGACCATCACATGTAATGCTAAATCATATACGCATACAACCTTTGGCGCGACCTAAGTCGTAGAACACGTCGTCCGCACATCACAGGGTCTCCTCACACGTATTATCACATGTGATAAGGGTGTTCTCGCGTTCTCGTAAAATGGAGATGTTCTCGTTTGAACCTACACCTATATGTATATACAAGGAAGGTTTAAATAAAGAAGACAAAAAAAAGTTAAGAATATAAAAATAAATGATTCATATGTGAATCATGATTGGTAAATCTGGAAATAAAATCCATTAAGAGATATATATGTGTGTGTATGTGTGTGTGTGAACCCTTTACTAATTATTCACAATGAAAATGTATATACATACTCATGTTTCCTTTTATCAATGATTTTTGTATGAATCATTTACTTTCACCTTCTCTATTATTTGAACCTCCACACACATATACATAGGGAGTTTCCAAAGCAAACTATCTAGTTAATATAAACTATATAAACTAGTCTCAACCATTTATCTACTCTAATGAATACTTGGTTTCATAAATATATCTCGATTATTTTTTTTTATCTAAAACGTTAATCATAATTAATGAACGTTGATCATCTTCTGTAAATAGAGGTATCATAATAAATAAACTCTTATTATTTCAATAAATATCTCATAATAATATCTGATTGCATCACTAATATGGGTGTGGTGAGTCCATTCACACAAGAACCATCATCCGTGATTATTGAAGAGATTGTCAATATTGACCGGACTCGCTTTAAATAAAAAAAAATGGAAAACTAGAATGGAAAATTCATGTAACTCTTTACCAAAAAATAAAATCCAAATCTTAAGTTTATGTAAAACATAAATTACAAATGGTGATTAAAACTCTTTTTGATAATTTGAAGATCCCATAAAAGAAAAACCTGAAAAATATACGTAGATATGTGTCAAAATATAATTATAAAGTTCTTTTTTGTATAAATTATATTATTCAATTTTTAATTTTAGTGATCGAGAATTCTTCTATATAGTTTCATTGAGGGAGTAGGGGGCGGAATGGTGCTTAGCCCCGAAGGGATTGTTCGGTTGTGGCTTAATGTACTGTGTAGCCCGTATGGCTTATTCGCTCAGCCATAAATGACTATTCGACTATGGCTTAATCTGGTCAAGATCTTTTGAGAAGGGCACTTGTCTACGTTCAATCAAATTTTTTACTTAAATACTCTTCTTTTAACAAACAATCTCATCTTCAATAACAAAAATGAACCCACCGCCTCCATCTTCATCCCTTAAGGCTCTACTTAAAACAACACCTTCTTACGTCATCGGAGCTTCCCTTGCCATCGTCGGTCAACCGCCATCATCTTCATTCTCAGCCCCCCTCTTCTTTTCCCTCTCTTTCTCACGAGATAACAGGTAATGGGTTGGGTGATGAACTGAAGGTTTTCGGTGGCTCCCATTGCACGAGATGGAGATGGGGTGGGTTTTTAAAATTTATAGCTTCCATGGCAAAGGATGAAGGCGGGTTGGTTTTGGTGGCTTCCATGGCAGGAGGTGGCTTCAAGAACCATGACTTTATGCATTCTCCTCTCTGTTGCTTCATCCTTTTTTCTTTTCTTTCATCCTCCCTCTCTGCTGCTTCTGTCATGTTTTTTCTATAGGACCACAAGAATTAAATATTTTTCTGGAAGGATTTGGTAAATAACATCCAAAATCCCACCAACAATTAAAGATTTGATAATTGACTTCAATTAAAAAATTTAGATTTGACAAAATTATTAGGGCTTGATATTTTCGAGAATTAATTTGTTCTAATTTGGGTTTGATATGATTGAAAGTGAAGTAGTTTGGAATTGGGGCTAAAAAAAGACTGAGGGGTAAAATGCAAATTTTAGATATCCAGACTGTTTATTCAATTCAATAACCGAATAACAATTTATGTTATATCATACAGACAACTTTATCTATATAGGTTTTAACAAAAATGAACCGAACAGCCCTAAATCTCTTGTGTAAGCCTACTATACCTTCTTACACATAATTCATGCATTTTATGGATGAACTTAAAAATTATATACCCAAGTGTTAGATCTTAAAAATTATCAAGTTTTGCTCTTTAACCTTGTTTCTTTCATTTATATACCCAAGTGTTAGATCTTAAAAATTCAACGCATAAAATAGCGATATGGGTTAGGGGCTGTTTACCAAATTTTCTATTAAATCTTGTATGGATAAATTATTCTGTTTGAATAAATTTGTCTGTCTAGATAAACATGCAGTGTTGTTTCTTTTTTCTTCTGAATCAATGATCTGAATGGCAAAATTGACCATTTTACCCTCAATGAACTGAACATTCTTTCACATCATTAAAGAATTCCTGCTAATGAAAATGACTATGGTTTTCAGAGGAGAATACTCCAATCGACCTAAATTTACAAACCTTAGCGAATTTATTGACGATCTACAATATGTTTGATGATCTCCGATATGTCCATTCAACCTAATCTCATACACTTCCCATGAAATTTATGAGCTCAAAAAACCCTAAAAACCCACCAACAACCAGTGACAGAAAAATGCACCAGTCTAAAGAACCCAAATCCAACAACCAGTGACATATTCTAAAATGTTCAGAAACGGAAGACTACCAATGACAAAAGAATGCACCGGTCTAAAGAATCCAAATCCAACAACCATCCATGAACGAAGATCTTCGGAAATTTGGAGGTGAAAAGGAGAAGAGTTGCAACTTTCAGAGCCGAATACTTGCTCCATGAACTGTTTCTAGAAAGATTCAAAGTTGTTGAACTATCAAACAAAAGGGTTATAGAGTGAATAGCAATGAAGGAGATGATGGTTGCGGAGCTCTGGAGAAGGGAGCTTCTGTACGGATGCAGAGCAAGTTTTGAATTTTTGGGTTTGTTTTATTAGGGTTTTGAAAGGAGAAATCGATATGTTGCTGAAAATTGAAGAAGAAACCGAAGAAGACTCGATGGAAGGAGAAATCGCCGGTAACCAGAAAGGAAGAAGAAATCGACAGAAAGGAGGCGTGTATTGAAGGAGACTGAAAGGAGGCGTGTCTTGAGGAGGAGTGTTCATGAAAACTTAGGGGTAGGTGGGTCTTTTTTTTTTGCTGAATGCAGACAACAATCCATATCCATCTGTGTGAATAAGTCATGAACTATGCGAATAAGCTCCAAGTAAACACTCAATTTTAACTGTGCGAATAAGCCGGAAGTTCAATTAAGCCCATTAAGTCATAAGTAAACAGCCCCTTTTAGTCATTTTATTTTTATGGGTTCATGAAAAAATTTAAGTTACTAAATTATATTTATCAGATGCAATTTAGAAATAGTATTTATGGAAAAGCTTATAATTGTTTTCTAATATTTTGGAAAAGATAATATTATTATATAAAAAAATAAAATATAAATTACGACTAATCAAATAAGAGGGATCGGATCATATAATTGAAGAAATTACATGGTGTGTTGTGGCAATCAAAACTTAGATATGTAGATTGATATCAAGGAAAGAGGAGCAAACACGCCATGACCGCAAACATTGTTGTTACATGACTTGATAAAACATACCTTTGGCTTTGTCCTGCCAAGATACAACTCATTTTTACCCAACATTTGATGAAAATGTTATTCGGTTTTTGTTCCCGAGCAAATACATCACCGCCTCAAAATACTTCTTGTTTAGAAAATGGTTTTGAAAAACTAACGGAAACCATAACAATATTTATGGTTGTTATTTTAGAACAAAGTACAACTGTCGGACCCCTCTTACATAAATTCCTAGCACCGCCCCTGCGTATAGTAGAGCTAGATCAACGTTTATCTTCTATTTGGACGCCTTCATTGATTAGCATATAGATTCAAAAGTAAAACTTTAACAAGTTGTACATATATGAGTTGTAAACTTGAATTTTTTTTTTTTTAAATGTATTAGTTAGCCGTAATTAGTAATTAAAAAATTGATTTTAAAAGTTTTACCACAATTAATGAGTGAAATTGTGTTTAAAAAGAATTCAAATTATGATATAATAAACACAAGAATACTTAAAGTGTAATATTATATAAGAAATTAAAGAAGAGATTCAAAGACAATTACAATTACAATTACTTCAAACAATATATAAAATAATCAAGCAATGTGGATAGAGTTTAAATGTTGAACAACAAAAGTTGATCAACAGCGTCATGTACGTAGTTCAACAAAGAATAACATACTAATTGATTAAGTGACTTAATTATAATCAGACATAAGAAGCTCTCAAATAAATAAAAAGATGAGCATTTTTCCAACCCCACTCCCTCTCAAGTTTGACAAGGTAGGACAATTTCTAAGGTACAGATGAGAAGTTGAACTAAAAATGACAATTTCTTTCTCATTCCCACCAACTCATCATCAATGGGTCCCTCTTCTCCATGACTCAATCTTCTATATAAATCCAAATCCACAAACATATATTCCCAATCCAACTCACACACCTTCTTAGTTATTGATCGGCTTCATCAATCCAACGCAATCTCAATGGATAATTCCTATCTCATTTCCTTCCTACGACTCATACTAGTTTCGATCACTTTAGCGTCAATAAGTGGTGGGATGATCAGTGCTGAGGCACGTAATCTTTTGGAGATACCCGAGGTTCCAAAGCCTGAACTTTCAGAGCTTCCAATGCCCACAATTCCTGAGATTCCGAAGCCCACACTTCCTGAGATTCCGAAACCCACTGTTCCTGAGATTCCGAAGCCCACACTTCCTGAGATTCCAAAACCCACAATTCCTGAGATTGCGAAGCCCACCCTTCCTGAGATTCCGAAGCCCACCCTTCCTGAGATTCCAAAACCCATTGTTCCTGAGATTCCAAAGCCAACACTTCCTGAGATTCCGAAGCCCACAATTCCTGAGATTCCAAAACCCACTGTTCCTGAGATTCCGAAGCCCACACTTCCTGATATCCCAAAACCCACTGTTCCTGAAATTCCGAAGCCCACAGTTCCAGAGATCCCGAAGCCCACAGTTCCAGAGATCCCGAAGCCTACAGTTCCTGAAATTCCGAAACCTGCACTTCCTGAGCTTCCAAAGCCGGAGTTGCCTACTTTGCCCAAACCAGAAGTACCAAAGGTGCCAGAAATCCATGACCTTCCTAAGCCCACCTTGCCCAAACCAGAAGTACCAGAGTTGCCCAAGGACTTCCCAAAACCTTCCCTACCCCATCCTTAGAGACCTACTTTTGTGAAAGCTTGTGATTTACTCATTACTACTAATGTTACTTCCAAGAGATTTGTCATTTAGAGTGTTCCCTGAAGATTGAATGATTATTTATATGGTGTATGTTGTTCTGTTATATGACGAACAATTTATTTATGTTGAATTTATGCAACTTGATTACATTATACTCTACAGATAAAGTATTGTTTAATCGATTTGACTTCATCTCCTTTTGGCAACTTATGTGCATGATAACAAGAAATAAATCCATGACTAAAAGGTTTTACATTATAAAAAATGGAAAGATCAAATAATAATCTTATATATGAACTGAACATTTCTAGTTTAAAGGAATAAAATGACAAATCAAGGATGGTCAGTGTAGTAGCTGTATACCGTTTACATTCTTGCTCAACCTATGCATCAGGCCTCTAAGTCTAGCAAAAACTTGATGGAACATTTGGCTTGTTGGTGTTTAGTCTGCTGATGATCGATCGTCCCAATTGAAGCAAAAGTTTGTGTTTGCCAAAGCTAGTTGAATAAAATATCATAAAACATTTTCTCAAATTTAATTTAATACTTGAGACTGAAAATTCTTACATAAACACTTGATCATGTAATCACATGCATTCTTTAGTCCTTTGAAAATGCTTAATTAATAACAAAACAACCTTTGGGGTAGAAGATAAATTTTCCTAGATCTAACACCCCCCCCCCCTCCAACAGTAAATATAAAAATTGAATCGGGCAGATACGTAAAATTATAAATTGAAGTCGTTAATTGAATAATACAAATCAATGCAAGTCTAAGAAGTTTTATAGGCAATTAATTACATAATTTCCCACACAACCTAAACAACCATTGTCAGATAATCCATTTACATTTTGAAAATTCCACCGTATTGGCCTCTTTCTCATTAATGGTTACATGGCCAAACCGTACAGCCACCAGTTTTAGCAGGGTATTTGAGTATTTCGTCCTTACATTGAACCTAATGGTTACGGATATGCTTAGTGATTTCAGCAATGATGCCCGAATAATTTTACAGGGAAAGTAATTGAATACTATTAATTATCAACAATACTGTCACTCCTTGAAATATTTGGGAAGCATGAAGAGAAATTTGTTTACCTTATCAACAATTAGCAAGCATGCACTTCAACCTTCTCTAGCCACAGATTGTCAATGTCAAACATGTCAATGTTCGCAAAAGATAGCGAAGTATTTAAAAGTTTTTAGAGATACTGAAAAATGTCTAGAGATTGACAACAATGATAGAAGCAAGGAGGGTGGCAAAACATTTCAACATTAAAATACTAGTTGTGTACCCGCGCTCCGTCAAATCCTAGGGACAAGCTGGAGTACAGTAGGGGCAGAGGGAATTTCCGGCAATGCGGCGAGATGTAAAATTTTGAAAAGATGTAAGCGGGCATATCGATTACGGATAAAGATTTGTATTTGAAATTGTCAGGCCCTACACTATTGATTGTTTCACGTTCAATTGATTTGGGAAGAATTGAAACAATCCAATAATCTTTTTGAAGTTGAAATTTGACAATCAATTTATTCTAATTTGGTTATGCATGAGATATCGTATTATGGGACTATCTATCGATCTCAATAGAAAAGCATGACGTGACTTATCTTAAGAGTGATCAAGATTGCACAAGTCCAGAAATGTCCAAGAAAATTGAGTCCACTATCGAAAAAGGTAGCGACCCAAATATCTATATAGTGATAGCCCAAAGAAACCACAAGACCATCAGTAACCAAATTTCTAGTTGTGTATCCATGCGATACGACACGATTCGTCTAATTTTTTAAGCCAAAAGCTCGGACCATCAATTTTGTTTCGTACTATACATGTTGTATCCTAAGGAAACATCAAATGTTTTACCAAACAAAATCCAATATGATATGAATCAGTTGTATGTTTTAATTACAATGCCAATTCAATCAAGCTAATGTCCTACATCAAATACAAAACAAGTACAACCAAACTTTGATATTGGTAAAAGAAAAAACAAGGATCTTCAATCTACCACATCAACCTATAACAAAAATGCTTTGCTTTTTGAATCATCACTCTTTCTCCATCTTCATTGAAAAGTTGTTGCATACCTGGAAGGAATCAAATGCATATCAACAAATATATAGCAACGATGATATTTAGAGGTTGCTAACAATGATTTAGCAACATATAGGCAATTTAGATATTTCTGAATTTTGCCATAATTTAGAAAATAGATAATAGTCAAACTTCACTAAACTACAACGCAGTGTAAATTTTATTCTAAACCAAAAATAGAAAATCAATGCAACTTCTCACAAGAACAATAATCTAAAACTTATCTTTAAACTAATTAAAACTAAAAATACAAAATATTGTAGAACACAAGGGTCAAAGTAAAATCGAGACTTAATAAATCTTGGTCCAACACATAAGAATAGAATATTTGTACGTCTATACCTAAAGTTGTGCCCCCATAGACCAACGGGCGAACCAAGTTCATTTTTAAATAACAACTCAAGTTGTGCCGGAATCGGGGCCTGGAAATGACTCAAGTTGGCAGAAGGCAATGATCTAATGCAACCAAGAATATGCTGAAGCCTGCCATATACCAAATAGTTTAAAGAAGCACACCTTTTAGTTTCTCTACTTTCAAAACTGAAGCAATTCATATGTTCAATCTATTATGGTGAGATGTAGAAATTTCTTATCAGAAATAAAGGACATGTTTAACACTAAACTTTGAGCAATAGTCTTGTATTTTACAACAAAGGTAGCACTTATTTAGAATTACTCAAGATGAAGTTAAAAACTTAAGAACCTGGCTTTCGCTTGTTGTGCGAATTCTATCCCACATAGCAAAAAAGAAGAAATTGTTTTCTTTGATTTCGTAGATTACATTTTTTAGGTTTGCACCATATGAATTTGGAAATTTAGATAAAAAAGAATGAAAATAGCAAATATCAAGACAATTATAACAACACGAAAATAGTAATGAAACTCATCAGCAACAACAGTATGTGGTAAATGAAAATGTTATTCGAGCCAGCAGAATGTTTACTCGTATCCGGGAAAGACGAAAAGGTTTTTAGGAACCTTATTTTATGAGTTGACAAACAATGTAACTCGATTGGGTGGGTATATATGCCCACTGTAATTTTTTAATTTTTTCGTTGTTTGGAATATAATTTTTTAGGGGTTTTGTCCCCTTTATACAGAAAACAATATATAACACTCCGAAAAATATGGAAAGCCAATTACTCTTGCCGGAAGGGGTTGGTAAAATGCCACATTCGTAGTATCTCATTAACTTGGAACAAAGCCTTTAAAATAGACTGTACAGTAAACTCGAACTGAACGACTTAGCTATATGGTTTATGATTTATCTTCAGCTAACTTCAGCAAACACAAGCTTAGGCTTCAATTTGAACATAAGCAAAAGGTAGCATCTAGTTTTTGCAAGACAGAAGGACTTGGTGCACCTATGTGGAACAGCATCAGATGTGCAGGCACATGATCTACAACTCGTACACTGACAACCATTGATTTGCCATTTTATTTCTCTGAACTCGTGCAGTTTAGAGTTAGAAATATAGTTTGGTTCTTTATTTTCTTAGGTATAAAAACTTGGGGTCATGGTTGGGTTTCATATTATCATGCATTAGTTTCAACTTGCTTTCGCCCATAGAAATGAAATAAAACTGATTCAACAATCTATGTGTAGTATATCTTCACAAAGGAATGAGGTACATAAGTCAATCACAATATAACACAACAATGGAGAAAATAAAAATAAAAATAAAAATAATTAATCATTCAATCTTTCATGGTACCCTCTGGACTGATCATGAAGTTTTCTTTAATAATAGTTGTAGCAGTGAAGTGAACAATCACATGCTTTCACAAATTAAAAAGCATTTCTTTAAGGATGGGGTAAGGAAGGGATGGGGAAGTCTTTGGGCAACTCAGGAATGGTTGGCAAGGTGGGCTTAGGAAGGTCATGGATTTCTGGCACCTTTGGTACTTCTAGTTTGGGCAAAGTAGGAAAATCCGACTTTGGAAGCTCAGGAAGTGCGGGTTTCGGAATTTCAGGAACTGTAGGCTTCGGGATCTCTGGAACTGTGGGCTTCTGAATTTCAGGAACAGTGGGTTTTGGGATATCAGGAAGTGTGGGCTTCGGAATCTCAGGAACAGTGGGTTTTGGAATCTCAGGAATTGTGGGCTTCGGAATCTCAGGAAGTGTTGGCTTTGGAATCTCAGGAACAGTGGGTTTTGGAATCTCTGGAAGGGTGGGCTTCGGAATCTCAGGAATTGTGGGTTTTGGAATCTCAGGAAGTGTGGGCTTCGGAATCTCAGGAATTGTGGGCTTCGGAATCTCAGGAAGTGTGGGTTTCGGAATCTCAGGAAGTGTGGGCTTCGGAAGCTCAGGAAGTGTGGGCTTCGGAATCTCCGGAAGTTCAAGCTTTGGAACCTCGGGTATCTCCAAAAGATTACGTGCCTCAGCACTGATCATCCCACCACTTATTGACGCTAAAGTGATCGAAACTAGTATGAGTGGTAGGAAGGAAATGAGATAGGAATTAGCCATTGACATTTCGTTGGATTGATGAAGCCGATCAATAACTAAGAAGGTGTGTGAGTTGGATTGGGAATATATGTTTGTGGATATGGATTTATATAGAAGATTGAGTCATGGAGAAGAGGGACCCATTGATGATGAGTTGGTGGGAATGACAAAGAAATTCGCATTTTTAGTTCAACTTCTCATCTGTTCAACTTTTGTTGTTCAGCAAACTCCATCCACATTGATTGATTATTTTATATATTGTTTGAAGTAATTGTAATTGTAATTGTCTTTGAATCTCTTCTTTAATTTCTTATATTACACTTCAACTATTTTTGTGTTTGTTATATCATAATTTGAATTCTTTTTAAACACAATTTCACTCACTGTGGTAAATTGTCGGAAGTGTTTTTTACTATTTATAATTAATTGTTCTTATTTTTACCATATATAAAACAAGTTTATTAACATAAAGTATAGATCTATGTGATCAAAAGAGAACAGTTAAACATTGTAAGCCAGAAAATTTTTACTATGATAATTTGCATTTGGTAAAAACATTTAAAAGCTATTTTTTTACGTAACTACTTATTAATACATAATTTTTTAAAATTCAAGTTTACATATATGTACAACTTGTTAAAGTTTTGCTTTTGGAATCTATATACCATAAATATTGTTATTGTTTCTGTTAGTTTCTGAACAAGATGTATTTTGAGGCGGTGATGTATTTGCTCGGGAACAAAAACCGAATAACATTTTCATCAAATGTTGGGTAAAAATGAGTTGTATCTTGGCAGGACAAAGCCAAAGGTATGTCTTATCAAGACATGTAATAACAGTGTTTGAAGTCATGACGTGTTTGCTTCTCTTTCCTTGATATCAATCTACATATCTAAGTTCTGATTGCCACAACAAACCATATAATTTCTTCAATTATATGATCCGATCCGTCTTATCTGATTAGTTGTAATTTTATATTTTATTAATATTTTCTTTTCCTAAATATTAGAAAGCGATTATAAGCTTTTCCATAAATACTATTTCAAAAATGGTCATAATTAGTGACAAAACTAGAGTGGTCACTGTGTTTGTGACGACTAACCTGGTCATTAAATGTCGTCATTAAATCAGTGAAAGTCGTCACTAATTTCTCATATCAGTGACCACCACAAAGTAGGTCACTAGTTGTGTTCAAGATAACGGATATAGTTGGTGTTAACGTCCATTAGAGATCAAATATGTGGTCACTGGCCGGTGGCTTCTAGTGACCAAAAAGGTAGTCACTAACTAAAAGTATATGAACAAAATTATGCTAATTTCTATCTCAATTGTGTTGCAATGAAAGTTATACCTACTATATTGTAGTAATGAGAATCAAAAATATTAATTCAATTTTCATAACGTAAAATTCTTTGATATAAACAAAAACAAACACATCACTATTATATATCACCAACATATGTCTATTTGTACATCCTAAAAGATTTTAGTATCAACATTTACACTACATCTTCTAGCAACTTAAGCACAAACAAGTTTTCACTTGTTCTTACTGCCAATTTCACTTCTTCAACACCCATACTAAGATTTCTTGATGGTGTTTCTATGATGGTCCTTGTAGCTCGACCGTTGTCTGCTTCTTAATATGATTTTCAATTGAAAAGAAAATGTTAATGACTCACTACAACATCCTGCCAATGATGATAGTGTATTAGTGTGGAAAATGTTGTTCGTATTGAACATATTGTTAGAGTTGAACTAGTAAAGATTGATATGTCAAATTATGAGGGGTTAACACAAATCTTTTGATTCGTGTCCCAGGCGTACAAGCTTCAACCATAAGCCATCAACTAACCAACACGATGAAATTAAGCAAACGGGTGATCTAATTTTATTTAAAAAAGTGTAACTTTTTGAAAATTGAGTAGATTGATGATTTGGTGGCATGAACTAGTGTATATTGGTTCACATGTGAATCTTAAACCGATTAAGAATTTTGATTATAAGTTTTATATTGATTCGCGTACAAGTTATGATCGTGAATCTCTATTAGGATTCAAATGTGAATTTATGTTAGATTCACATATTCACATCTGAACCAATATACCATTAATTATCACGGTCTGATAGTGGTTTGCTAGGCTATTTTGCAACTGATTACATTTCAAATGACCAATGAAAAACATGGATTTTTGTGTTCAAATATGAGATTTGGGCAAATGAGATTGACTTCGATTTATAGATATTGTAAAATCACGAATAATTTCAAGGTGGAAAACGGTGTTGCTAAACATACCCCGTCCTACTCATTCATTCCCCTCAGCTGAACCTCCACACGCACATACATAGGGAGTTTCCGAAACAAACTGTCTAGTTAATATAAACTATATAAACTAGTCTTAACCATTTATCTACTCTAACGAATATTTGGTTTCATAAATATATCTCGATTATTTTTTTATCTAAAACATTAATCATAATTAATGAACGTTGATCATCTTCTATAAATAGATGTATCATAATAAATAAACTCTTATTATTTCAATAAATATCACATAATAGTATCAGATTGCGTCACTAATAAGGGTGTGGTGAATCCAATCACACAAGAACCATCATCCGTGATTATTGAAGAGATTCTCAATATTGACCGGACTCGCTATTTAAATAAAAAAAATGGGAAACTAGAATGGAAAATTCATGTAACTCTTTATCAAAAAATCCAAATTCTAAATTTATGTAAAATAAAAATTACAAGTGGTGATTAAAACTCTTTTTGATAATTTGAAGATCCCATAAAAGAAAAACCTAAAAAATATACGCAGATATGTGTCAACCGATGGGTTGGGTGATGAACTGATGGTTTTCAGTGGCTCCCGACGGGGTGGTTTTTTTTTTGGGTAAACAGGGGACGGAACCCTCGATTATTTTTTTATGCATTCTCCTTTCTGTTGCTTCATCCTTTTTCTTTTATTTTCATCCTCCCTCTATATTGCTTCTGCCATGTTTATTTCTACAGGTTCACAAGAATTAAATATTTTTTTGGAAGGATTTGGTAAATAATATCTAAAATCCCACCAACAATTAAAGATTTGATCATCTACTTTAATTTTAAAAAGATAATTAAATATCCGCCGGAAATCCGCCGGTAAATTATTGTAATTAGATTTAAATACAAGCTTAAAATAATTAATTACGAAGTCCACCAGAAATCCGCCGAAAATCGGTCGTAAATATTATCAGAATAATTATACCTGCGGATTTTCGGCGAAAGTCAAAAAAAGTTGACTTTTTTGTTGTCCCACGGTAATCCGCCGGTATATTTCCAGCGGATTTCATCCGCCGGAAAACTCGCCGGAAATACCCAGGATTCTAGTAGTGTATTGTCATATTTCATATAGGAGGTACTCAAGGAACATGATGCAACAAGTCTAACTACTATCGTCAAAGATACGAAATAGTCCAGAAACTTGTTTCCACTTCTTCTTTTCTTTTGATGATGACATTTTAACTATACACAATGGATTGCATATTTGCATACCAGTATCCCTACAACATGGGTATTTAATTTCCGAAATAGATTTTGTAGGAATATAACGGATTTAATTATCAAGGTCTTCTTTGGTTTTGCATTATTCAATTAAGATTGAATTTAAATTTAAGTTTCTACTGTCACCTCCCCTTACTTTTATATTAATCGTTAAAGCAATTATTTTACTCTCCACTCATTCGGTTTTGTAAGGACAAATTAGCGAATGCAAATTCAAACGATGAAGTATTTCTGTACACATTTCGAGTTGAAGTTTTAATACTTTAAATCTTAAGTAATAACTTATCATTTCCTATGCACTTAACTTTATCAAACAACAAGCTTAGGCTTTGATTTGACGACTCATCATCAAGCGACAAAAACACTTGATTTGTATTATTCAATTAACGACTTGAATTTATGAAATTTCATGTATCTGCCTGATTTAATTTTATATTTACTGTTGGAGCTAGAGGGGGGGGGTGTAAGATCTAGGAAAATTTATCTTCTAACCCAAAGGTTTTTTTGTAATTAATTAAGCACTTTCAAAGGACTAAAAAAAGAATGTGAATTACATGATCAAGTGTTTATGTAAGAATTTTCAGTCTTAAGTATTAAATTAAATTTGAGAAAATGTTTTATGATATTTTATTCAACTAGCTTTAGCAAACACTAACTTTTGCTTCAATTGAGACCATCGATCATCAACAAACTAAACACAAACAAGCCAAATGTTCCATCGAGTTTTTGCTAGACTCAAAGACCTGATGCATTGGTTGAGCAAGGACGTATATGGTCTACAACTACTACACTGACCATCCTTGATTTGTCATTTTATTCCTTTAAACTGGAAATGTTCACTTCAGATATATGAATATTATTTGACCTTTTCATTTTTTAATAGTGTAATACCTTTTAGTCATGGATTTATTTCTTGTTATCATGCACGTTAAGTTGCCAAAAGGAGATGAAGTCAAATCGATTCAACAATACTCTATCAGTAGAGTAGAATGTAATCAAGTTGCATAAATTCAACATACATAAATTGTTCGTCATATGACAGAACAACAAACCACGCATAAATAACACTCTAAATGAAGACTCCTAACAAACAAGATATGCATTCAAATTGAATACAACACATATATTTGTTAAGTCAAAGTATTTGAACACGTCATGATATTAATGTAAATAGGGTGAAAATAAGGTCCTGTTATTTTAGATTGAACATATATTGTTACAACAAACTCCAAACAAATATCTGGTAAACAAATTTAAAGGGTCCGCAAATACATTAAAAAAACACAATAGAAGGAAGAGATTGAAAAAAAAACAAATATATATCTAAAATAAATAACAATGAGAAAATAGAGAATGAAGCAAATCTGGGAGAGAACGAGCCACTAGCAGTGGCAAACCAGGGAGAGAACGAACCAACAACAATGGCAAATTAGGGAGAGAATGAACCAACAACAATGGCAAATCACAGAGTGACTGAACCAGCTGGGAAACGGGGAGCCTTAGAGAGCTCAAATCATGGCGATAGAAAATATAAAGTTTAGTCACTATTGAGAACTCATTCAACATGGATAAATTTGCTTTTCAACTTGAACTTGACTTCTGAGCTTCGAGAAAAAACCTTCAAGAACAAAAGCAAATTGTATTGAATTTAGAATCAATATTACAAATTAAGAAGTTCAACTACGATCTATATATAAAATCAGGCATACCTTGTAACACATGGCGTTCAAAGCATAAAAGTTCATTCTATTCATGACTTCAGCATCAATAACAAGTTGTAAACTTGAATTTTAAAAAATTATGTATTAATAAGCCGTAACTAGTACTTAAAAAATTCCTTTTAAAAGTTTTTACCTAATGCAAAATATCATAGTAAAAATGTTAAGGCTTACAATGTTTAAGTGTTCTCTTTTGATCATATAGATCTATAGTTTATATTAATAAACTTGTTTTATATATGCTAAAAATAAGAACACATTATAAATACTAAAAAAACACTTCCGACAATTTACCACAATGAGTGAAATTGTGTTTAAAAAGAATTCAAATTATGATATAATAAACACAAGAATATTTAGAGTGTAATATTATATAAGAAATTAAAGAAGAGATTCAAAGACAATTACAATTGCTTCAAACAATATATAAAATAATGAAGCAATGTGGATAGAGTTTGCTGAACGACAAAAGTTGATCAACAGCGTCATGTACGTAGTTCAACAAAGAATAACATACTAATTAATTAAGTGACTTAATTATATTCAGACATATGAAACTAAAAATAGGACAATTTCTAAGGTAGAGATGAGAAGTTGAACTAAAAATGCCAATTTCTTTGTCATTCCCACCAACTCATCATCAATGGGTCCCTCTTCTCCAAGACTCCATCTTCTATATATATAAATCCAAATCCACAAACATATATTCCCAATCCAACTCAAACACCTTCTTAGTTATATATTGATCCGCTTCATCAATCCAACGCAATCTCAATGGCTAATTCCTATCTCATTTCCTTCCTACCACTCATACTAGTTTCAATCACTTTAGCGTCAATAAGTGGTGGGATGATCAGTGTTGAGGCACGTAATCTTTTGGAGATACCTGAGGTTCCAAAGCCTGAACTTCCGGAGATTCCGAAGCCTACACTTCCTGAGCTTCCGAAGCCCACAATTCCTGAGATTCCAAAACCCACAATTCCTGAAATTCCAAAAACCACTCTTCCTGAGATTCCAAAGCCCACACTTCCTGAGATTCCAAAGCCCACACTTCCTGAAATTCCAAAACCCACTGTTCCTGAGATTCCGAAGCCAACACTTCCTGAGATTCCAAAACCCACTCTTCCTGAGATTCCAAAACCCACTATTCCTGAGATTCAGAAGCCCACAGTTCCAGAGATCCCGAAGCCCACAGTTCCAGAGATCCCGAAGCCTACAGTTCCTGAAATTCTGAAGCCCGCACTTCCTGAGCTTCCAAAGCCGGAGTTGCCTACTTTGCCCAAACCAGAAGTACCAAAGATGCCAGAAATCCATGACCTTCCTAAGCCCACCTTGCCAACCATTCCTGAGTTGCCCAAAGACTTCCCCATCCCTTCCTTACCCCATCCTTAAAGAAATGCTTTTTAATTTGTGAAAGCATGTGATTGTTCACTTCACTGCTACAACTATTATTAAAGAAAACTTCATGATCAGTCCAGAGGGTACCATGAAAGATTGAATGATTAATTATTTTTATTTTTATTTTCTCCATTGTTGTGTTATATTGTGATTGACTTTTGTACCTCATTCCTTTGTGAAGATATACTACACATAGATTGTTGAATCAGTTTTATTTCATTTCTATGGGCGAAAGCAAGTTGAAACTAATGCATGATAATATGAAACCCAACCATGACCCCAAGTTTTTATACCTAAGAAAATAAAGAACCAAACTATATTTCTAACTCTGAACTGCACGAGTTCAGAGAAATAAAATGGCAAATCAATGGTCGTCAGTGTACTAGTTGTACATCATGTGCCTGCCCATCTGATGCTCTTCCACATAGGTGCACCAAGTCCTTCTGTCTTGCAAAAACTAGATGCTACCTTTGGCTTGTTAGTGTTTTAGTTTGCTTATGTTAAAATTGAAGCCTAAGCTTGTGTTTGCTGAAGTTAGTTGAAGATAAATCATAAACCATATAGCTAAGTCGTTCAGTTCGAGTTTACTGTACAGTCTATTTTAAAGGCTTTGTTCCAAGTTAATGAGATACACTGAACGTGGCATTTAATTACCAATCCCTTCGGGAAAGAGTAATTGGCTTTCCATATTTTTCGGAGTGTTATATATTGTTTTCTTTATAAAGGGGACAAAACCCCTAGAAAATTATATTTCAAACAACAACAAAAATTTACAAAATTACAGTGGGCATATATACCCACCCAATCGAGTTACATTGTTTGTCAACTCATACAATAAGGTTCCTGAAAACCTTTTCGTCTTTCCCGGATCCGAATAAACATTCTGTTGGCTCAAATAACATTTTCATTTACCACATACTGCTGTTGCTGATGAGTTTCATTACTATTTTCGTGTTGCTATAATTGTCTTGATATTTGCTATTTTTCATTCTTTTTTTTTTATCTAAATTTCCAAATTCAAATGGTGCAAACCTAAAAATGTAATCTACGAAATCATAGAAAACAATTACCTGCCAAAAACATAAGTGTTTTGTCGAACAAAAAAAATCCAAGCAAAATCAGGATTAATATTTCCCATGACTTCATTTATTCTTTTTTTTGCTATGTAGGATAGAATTCGCTCAACAACCTTATAACAAACAAAAAAAAAACAATTTTCATATAAACAACTCCCTTGAGTTGGATAAAGGATAACGATTTAAGACTAATCCTTTTTTATTCTACAAATACCGATTCATTCCAAGAATGCCAAGTTTTAGCCTCAAATATTTGAATGCTATCGAGGTGATGTTAGTTCAACAATTCCCAACACCGCCTTCCGATCACCCCACCTTCGGTCGTCCCTTATAGAGATATCTTACTTGATAATGGTATGGACTTGATACAAGTAAGGATATGTGTGGATATAATAGGGGAGGGATCAAATGCAAATCAAGTCATTTGTACAAATTGTGTAAAACTAATTCAACCAATCATGATTGTTTTTCACTTTTTTATTATGAGGGTTGATTAGTCATTTTCGTTGTGGAGGACGTTAATTATGTATATTATCATCTTCATTATATTAACTAGTATGGAACCGTGCGTTGCACGGTAACATGAGTATTTTGATTAATAATCTGAAGATTGTTTATATAAATGTGTATTAGTTGTTAATAAATTATCAACAAATAGTATTTAAATAATTCTAAAAAGTTAAATAAAATATAATTAGTGAAATTTTAATATATATATATATATATATATATATATA